GATTTCAGGAAGGGACGTGAATGTTCTAGAAGTTCATGACGTGTTATTAGCGTCACATGACTTACACTGTCGTAACAATACATAATCCTTTATTTTCTACCGTAAGGTTTTACAGTTCAATTAAGTTTTCTATAGAATCAGTTTATTCAAATTTTTTACATATCTAAGTACTTGAATTAACATCTATTATCATTTGTTAACCCTCCAATTAAAATAGGGCCAAGTTTTAAACATTGTTACCTTACTAATAACTTATTAATGGTATGAAAGTGAGTTTCTACCAGACTTGATCAGGTTTCTCATTATGATTCGAAAGTAAAAGGTTCCAGACTCTCAACTTTTGTTTTAAAGAGTAACTAACTAATTTTCAAGGGTCCCATAGGTAGCATTTAATAAACTTGAAAAAAAAGGTTAAAAGCTCTTCAGTGTCAATGAAAAACTTTATTTACAATGTACACTACATATTGTTTCTCTTTAAGTGCAAAGTAATTTGCATGATAATATTAAAGATACTTTTCTTCATTTCAAATTTTCAAATATTGTTTGCATAACCCTTGAAGCCTCCTAAATAAATATCAATTTATTTTTTATTAAAACTATATTTTATATGTTATATTCTGTACCCTAACTCAGTTACAAGGTTGGAAATATTGTTCCATGACTATCACAGTTTTTTTTGGCCTTCTAGCTGTGCGACAAAAGCTAAGCTCATTGATGTGTTTCCTGTTGGAATAAAGTTCAAACTGGAAGGAAAATAGACTATCTCTGTACAGACAATAACATAATATAATACATCATTTGATAAAGAAAAACATACGCTTTCTATTGGTTATAAATAATAGTCTTAAATGTCAGAGAGAACTATTGGCAAGTTCTGAAAGAGGGGTCTGATTTTCAATTTTATTGCTCTGTAACTAAATACGATTGAAGGCTGTGTAAATTAGGCTTTTCATGAATAATAAAAATATTATACAGTAATTTACATTAAATTTCGTATTTCTCAGAGGGGTAGTAAAAAAATTAGAGAAGAGGAAAGAAATAGGTAACAAACTCACAGTTCTGATACTAGGGGAGATTAAGATTTTTTAAAAATATTTCTTTATATCATTAAGAAATCAAAACTTAAATAATACTAAACTTTAATTTGTTATCTACGTTCTGATACTGAATTTATTCATATATATTCATAATATAGTACTTTAATTAAATTTTGAATGTAACTGTGAAAGGTTGTGACATGTGCACCCTGACCTACCTGAGGTAAAAGGGTTAATTATGTGCTGTTTTCATGTGGCTTTATTTTCATGCAATTTATTGTCATTCATGAAACTTTATTAGCAGTTGATTGTGGACAGCTGTGTGCAAACTGTAAGGTTTTTAGTTTGTTAGGATACAAAGTTCAAGGCAATATACTTGTGCTTGCCTTCCATATGGTACATTTTGCAGTGTGTATTTGGTACCTGTGGGGGTCAAACCTCATGTGTACCAACAAATTCTTGTATGTACAGGACCCAGGAGTTCTTGTTAACTAGAACCATGGTGATGTAAAAAATTTTTTTTTGCAATTTGATAGCATTAAAATTTTGCTTGTAAATAAATGAATCTATCACTTATTCAAAATAAACAAAGAAATTACAATCAAGAAAATTAACGATGATTTTAAAATTGAGATACCTAAACAATGAGTTTGAATTTTTTGCAACTATTGTCAAAATTTATCTCACACAATTTTCCATCAGAGTAAATAAGAAGTATTCATTTATCACAAGATTATATACCTGTTTTTATGCCTTCTAACAAGTCACTATAGGACTAAATTCACTCTCTCTTCATCCCCCTAAGTGTCTGGTGTCATAAGTAATATACCTGAAAGCTGCTAAGTTCCATTCTACCAGCTTTTCTGGTTGAAGGGTTCTCCTCTGTAACCAACATCTCACTTTACTACTGTCATGAACTCTCTAGTTTGGGAGTATTTTAAACTTTCTTGACCCCCTTTTTAAAAATGCTGTGTCCTTTGGTCATACCTAATTTAATAGTCACATTATTGGAATAGTTATTTTTGAAGAGGGAGGAGAGAAATACTTTATGTTTCTAACCATATGGTTAATTGTAATGGCACCAAACTTCAAATAAGTTGTGAATTTTGTGTGAACCATATATATATATATATATATATATGTGTGTCAAGTATTTTGCCAATGTACTGAAACTTGTATATTTGACAATATATCATACAAATAATTTTTAATAATCTATGGTTAACTGTCTTAATTTTACAATTAAAGATTTGTGTTGTTTCAGTAATTATAATTTTCATTTTTGTACATTTTCGTATACATAGAATCTTTGCTCCCCTGAGCAGCAGTAGAAATGAAGAGTTTACACAAGAGGATAGGAACACAATGGAACTTTATAATGGTATGTATTTCTTTTACATTGATTTATGTTTTATGTTCTTCTGTTGTAAAATTTAAATTTTATTTATAAAAAATAGCTCTTAAGTGGACAGAAGGATAAATGCTACTGGTAGCACATTGTTCAGAAAAACTAAAACTGAACTTCAAAACATGTATGTATAGAATAAAAAGCTAGAAAAACATTCTTGATCAACCACATCCTTTCAAATAATGTTGACATTTTCCAATAGTCAGTCTTTTCCACTTACTTTTTATCACTAAACTCACAATTACAGTCTAGAATTAGAACTCGGTAATTATTTTTTTACATCTATTTATACTTTGACAGAAGTCTAGAACATTCCATGCAATACTAGATATTCTGATGCAATAATACTCAATTAAACCAAAGAAAATCTCAGAAAGTTCTAGCAACATGATGCAATAATTTCACTATTCTAAACAATTGCTAATTCATAACAGTTGAACTACATAATATACAGTTCATAAACAATTACAAAAACAAACTATCACTTCTAAAAATAACTAAATAGCATACTTGTGCTATGTAAGCTATCCAAATAATAATGCTCACATTAAATTTAAAAAGTCATGTATATCTAAAAAGTCGTTTCAGCTAATAATACTTTCATCAAATGGTGTGTTATGCAGGTATATCATTTCCTCTACCATCTGTAGTAATATAGTTGTTTTTAAATTGTTGATTATTTAGATTCTTCACTGTCATGATGACAATATGTTGTGAAACTTGTCTGTTATTATCTTATATAGCTATCTGAATCCTTTGTTCTTTAGCTGGATAATGTTTCCTGCTAGTAGGGATATTTAAATATATATAGGGATATATAGAACTGTAGTATCCTTTGCTGGCTGAATTTCAATATCAGTTACATTGAATGGCTAACCAATGCTATCAGAGAACAAAAGTCATGAGATAATACTGTTCACTGGACAAAGAAAGTGAATTGATGTTTGGAGTCCAGACCATGTCTTTGTATTAGCTCACTCCTGGTTTTACATTTCTGTTATTTGTTAGTTTTAATTGTGGTAATTATTTGTAAGATATATTGCCAAATATTTACTGGTAATTTTCAGTTAATAATAAATATAAATCAAAAAATCATACATAATATCTTTTCAGCAAAATTGTATTTGTAACACAAGCAGTTTAGTTCCTGTCTTTTTAAATATTTACTACAGATGAAGAGCCAAGGGAAGAATTTACAACAACAAAAGCTTTTAAATAAAACTTTTATACAAAATAACTTTATAGATCCACCAAGGATCTTACTCTGCTGTGAAATACCAAGTTATAGCATTCCTAACATCACTATAAAACACAACTAACAATTAGGACAATATACAAAATATGCTGTCAAAGTTAGAGAATTTCAAAAGTGTCAACTATATATCTTTTGTTATTTGTACTTCATTGATTTGTTATTGTTCTGAATAACACATCTTGTTATTCACACCTTTCCTTATTCCATTATGCTTGTATTTTTATATTTCTCTACAAATTGTATCATGAACAATAGGTATCTAATGCTATTATTCATTAAACTTTCTGGCATATTATAAGATTGTTTGAAATTATAGCATGTATGATGAAATAGTGTTTGTTTGTTTGTCCATCTAAGATTGTTTGAAATTATAGCATTATGATGAAATAGTGTTTGTTTGTCCATATAACATTGTTTGAAATTACAGCACGTATGGTGAAATAGTGTTTGTTTGTCCAAAGTTAGGCTCACTGCTGACCAGTGAATGATTCATACTATTTCATGGCTTTGCAAAAGTGTGAATTCACCTTACAGTATGCTGTACCTACAGAACACAGTTGTGGTGTGCCCACAAAATATAATCTCTTCACAACCTGCATTGCAATTTGCCCACTGGACTTCAGTAATACATATACACTAGTTGAGAGACACTGCTACTCCACACAAGTTTCTGTTATAAATAAATACAAACTATGATTGATTTTTTATGTGGATTAATTATATCAATTAATATAGAGAGCTCAACAATAATTATTTTCCAGACAATCACAATAATGAAACAAGTCAAATCTTGTGCATATTTTCATAAGTTATATAGATGAATTATAGAATTTTTACAAAAGTAGGTCAACAGTGAGTAAAAGGTTTGTTTATATATTATGCATTTTTAAAGTTGTTTATAAATATATATATATATATACATCTGAAAAACACTAAGCAATGTGTGGTAGTTCTGTTGTGCAAGGAAACAGAAACACTGGATGGGTGGCCTTTGTTTTGGTCATATGTCGTAAATACATGCTAAGAATATTGTACAAGAAGTGTATTAGGCATGTTTGCACAAATATCATTGTTATAAAGTCAACATTATATAGTATGTCAATAATAGAATTTAAAAAAATCACAGTATTTATTCCACTAATATATTTAATGGTGTCTGTACAATACAATCAAAGTATTTATTGTACTAATATATTTAATGGTATCTATACAATACAATCAAGATATTTATTGTGCTAATATATTTAATGGTGTCTATACAATGCAATCAAAGTAATTATTGTACTAATATATTTAATGGTGTCTATACAATACAATCAAGATATTTATTGTGCTAATATATTTAATGGTGTCTGTACAATACAATCAAAGTAATTATTGTACAAATATAGTTAATGGTGTCTGTACAATACAATCAAAGTATTTATTGTACAAATATATTTAATGGTATCTGTACTATACAATCAAAGTACTTTTTGTACAAATATATTTACTAGTGTCTGTACAATACAATCAAAGTATTTATTGTACAAATATATTTAATGATATATGTACAATACAATCAAAGTATTTATTGTACTAATATATTTAATGGTGTCTGTACAATACAATCCAAATGTTTATTGTACTAATATATTTATTGGTGTCTGTACAATACAGTGAAAGTATTTATTGTACTAATATATTTAATGGTGTCTATACAATCAAATTACAGTATTTCTTCCACAAGTATAATTAATAGTGTCTATACAATCAAATCACAGTATTTATTCCACTAGT